GGCCTTTCAAGTCGAGGCCACTGAATCAGTATTACCAAAATAGCGACTGACTTGTGTGGTAAAAAAGAGCCTAGCTTGATGAAACTTCTAAAGTACACGGTCAAAATGACCACAATTGCCTTACAATGAAATACTTAATGTTTTTGTGCTTTGTGATATTGATCTCCGAACAATGTCAGACTAAAATGCTAAAACATTTTCACATCTCAAAAATTCTAACTGGTCAAAATGACCATCTTGGCCTTGCACTCATCCCTTCCTGAAAGCAGACAGCAGGACACTACACACTAATGACACAGAGTTTTGACAAACATATGGCTCACTTTTTCCATTTAAGTACAAACATAGTCCACCTTTTTAAGATAAAACATCTGCGATGCTGAACATAAACATGTTTCATTTCCGCCCAAATGGGTAAATGTACTTTCCATTCACACAGATACGGCACATGCTTGAATGCCTGCATGCACAAATTTGCGACGTAATAATGACTCCGGTAATGACTTTTACCACGTACGCACACACAGATGCTGACAAACATGATCCCACCGCGCCCCCGCCCTCCTACCTAGAAAAAGCGAGCATGAAAAAAGCCACTGATACCCCTTCAAGCAGAAAGGCAAACAAAAACGAATGTGCATACTGAGCCGATCCAGCGTTACCTCGTGCGGAGACTGAGAATAAACACTCGCAAACAAGCGCTCCCCATGTGAGGGACTACGCAACAACAGACAGTAATATGTATCCATTAACACATTCTCCGCTAACTGCCTCCCCTGCTAGCTATTTGACTATAATTAAATTACATCGGGCTCGGGGGAACGCTCGGATTCTCTCGACTGAGTCCCAGGCCGCCGCGGGAGCTCAGGGTACGGGTGACATGCAACTAGGAGAGCGGCGATATTGACAAATTCAAAACACGCGTTTTAATTGTTTGTATACATAAAAAAGCAGGTTTGGATGGTTTGGAAGAACACAGCCTCTTGAGCTTTCTCACATCTTTTCTCATGCTCTGATCTTCTTTCTCTGATCGGGAACCATAACAATGTTTCACAACTTAGTCTATGAGACTCACTTTTTCTCTGTCCAAGCTTCCAATCCATTTGAACCAAGTTAAAGAAGCTCCGCCTACAGACGTATATTGTACACAGAGGGCCACAATTATCAGACTTTTTTTTATCAAACTTATTGCTAGCTTGTCACAATCTAGCAAGTTATCAGACTTTATTACTTTGGTCATCAATTTTGTTCATCATTGCTTCCTAGAAACCTAGAAAGTTATCAGACTTTTTGACTTCTGTTTTTCAAGCTAAATGCTACCTAGTCACCATGCTGGCTAGTTTTTGGACTGAATGACAGTTGTTTATTAGGCTAAAAGCTAGATAGTCACCACTTTCGTTTGTTATTGGACTTTACTTAATTCTTTATCGAGCCGAATTCTGGCTTGTCACCATGAGAGCTAGTAATTAGACTGTATAGCTTTTATTTATCAAGCTAAATCTAGTTAGTCACCTTGCTAGCTAGTTATTTAGACTCCATGGTTGTTCATCAAGCTAAATGCTAGCTAGTCACCATGTTAGCAGGGATTTTATGACTTGTTTTTTAAGTTAAATTTAGCTGGTCACAATCTAGCAAGTTATCAGACTTTATGACTTTTGTTTACTAAACTAAATGCTAGTTAGTCACCATGGTAGCCAGTTATTGTCACACTTACTGGCCGTTCCTTCATTCAGAGATCAGCTTCTCTGGAATATTGAGAGCTGACTCCTCCTACACTCACGCACCTGCCTACAATCTGCTCATCAGCCACTCTTTATAACCAGGACTTTCACTCTGCCTCTTTGCGAGGTATTGCCACTCTCAGTGACTTTATTGAGCTGTTATCCTGTATTTTGCTATTTTGCCTGTCTGTATTCTGATTTTTGCTCTGTGGATTTTTGTTTATTAAAGATTCTCTGCATTTGCATCTCACTATCCTGTCTGAGTGTTACAGTTATCAGGCTTTATTACTTTTGTCATCAATTCTATTTTTCATTGCTTGCTGGTCACCATGCTCGAAAGTTATCAGACTTTTTGTCTTTTGTTTATCTAGCTAAATGCTAGCTAGTCACCATGCTGGCTAGTTATTTGGGTTCTATGACAGTTGTTTAATAGGCTAAATGCTAGCCAGTCACCACTTCCGCTTGTTATTGGACTTCATGACTTTTCTTTATTAAGCCAAATTCTGGTTTGTCACCATGATAGCTCGCTATCTGATTTTCTGACTTTTCTTTATCAAGCCAAATACTAGACAGCAACTATGCTAGCTAATAATTAGACAGTACAACTTTTATTAATTAGTTAGTCACCATGTTAGCTAGTTATTTGGACTCTATGGGGGTTGTAGAGTCCAAATAACTAGGGGTTGTCTATCAAGCTAAATACTAGCTTATTTGATTTATGACTTTATCAAGCCAAATTCTGGCCAGTCACCATAATAGCTAGTTATCTGATTTTGACTTTTCTTTATCAAGCCAAATACTAGCCAGTAACCACACTAGTTGGTAATCTCACTGTATAACTTTTGTTTATCATATAAATGTTAGCTGGTCACCAAATCTGACTTTACGACTTTTGTGAATAAAGGTGGGCCATCATACAGAAACCTATAGCATTAAATAAATATAGTTACTGTTATCTGAATCTGAATGTGGCAAAATCTCCATCCAGCTCCATCTGGGTAGGATAGAGTAGTCCAAGGTAGTAAATATTCTCACGTATATTTATGCTTGTTTTTCTTATGAAAACACTTGGTTTGCCTTCAAATATTTTGAAAATCTATCTGTCAACAAACTTATGATTGGAAGTGTACAGAATAATGATCATGCCACATGTTTCTCAAATTAAAGCTCCAAAAGAGCCACGTCAAATCCTGGGCTAAAAGATTTGCATTCAAAACGAGTGATGGGTTCTGACACATCTCACTGGATGTCCTTCTTGGCGAGTCGGAGAAAGAGTGCATTTAAATTATTGACGAGGTACAAAAGGATGCTGTTTTTGTTGGAGACAGATCCAGGCTGAGTGGCTAAAATAAAACATGTATGGAATGAAAACAGCTAAGGAGAGGAACACAGTCTTTAACGCTAAGCAGGCTGGGACCTTCGGAAACCTTGTAAACATTGCATATTTTTTTTTAGGTTTGTCAGTCGTGTGATTGAAAGAAGTCTCCTGTTTTTGTATATCAGACATTGAGAAATATAAATATATTCATATATTGAAGTACCTGGACGCTACCTTGGGTCAGACTGACAACAACAGCAAAATCTATAACGAATGTTTTGCATTCTGGCAGATTTGGGCCAATACTTGTTTTGTAAAAATAGGCATTAATTTTTATTATTATTATTTTTTGTTTTTTATGGGAAACTCAAAGCTGTTAAATTCACAATAACAATTATCTATTTTTCCCTGTCGCCCTGAGCTTTGGGGCTTTGAAAAGGTGAGATTTTATCTTTTAACTGCTCAGTTCTAAGTAATTCAGGAGCCCATGCTTATTTATGCATTCCTAATAGCATTACTGGTGACAACACCGATAATTTACTGCCACTAAACTACATTGTTAGTGAATTTCCCCCTTTATAGTGCAAACAAACCGGCACGACGGCTGAACTTGTCTTTTATGTTGAGCTCGAGACGTAGCGGCAGTCCATTGCGGGTGGCAGCAGAGAGAGAACAGGGGCCTACAAAAGCCGTGTTGGATTCTGGAGAACGAAAGCTGTCGCGTGGCTAATGCCCACTGCTTGAATATCAAGCGGGCGTAATGAAGTCATTTATCGAGGAGAAGCCGCTCTCCCACTACCCTCCAGCCTTCATTAGTCTGTCTCTGCCCTGGTTCCAGCGCCTCCCGCCATCCCTGCAGAATTTAATCAGCTTTAATGCACCTTTTTTTTCCCTCACATGCCTTCTGAAACATGACGAAAAGTATACATAAAAAGTTTGCCTCAAAGTCAAAGCCTATGTCTAATGTACTTTATAATATACTGAGTTGAGTCAGGTGCATTAGAGCAGGGAAAAGAATGAGGATTCAAAACCACTACACTGGTAGTCCATTTGTGCCCATATATGACTGATATTATATGAATTTAACCCTCTTAAAATCCCAGGCTTCTAACTCCCTTAGGCTTATTATTCAGTAACTACATGGACTGCAATGCGAACTGGCCTAAGACATTTCCTGGTCATTTAAGGGGTTGAATAGTGTTGGGTGCTTTTAATAGAATTCAATATCACAATAATTAAAGTTAATGAAGCCATGCCTCCTGAATACTTGTACTCAGGATCATCAAATGGTGGCCTCAGGCCAAATAGTCCAAGTTTTCTCCAGCCTCAACCCATCCTCCAAACCTGTTTTTTGCTCAGTTGTATTAAAATTAGGTGGAATCTACTAAAAAGATAAAGCACTGTTGTTGAACCAACAACTACTGAAATGTATAAGCACATATAGGGGACATTCTAGCACCAATATGTCAAAGATCTGTTTTACAGCTGACCGCACAGGTTGGCTAATTTTAGAATCTGACGTCATAACAAGAACAGTTGAGAAGTGGATGCACCGCAAGCAAAGGTAAACCACCTCTAAAACCCACCCCCAAATTCCTCTAGCCTATTCTCTTTTAAATCATTAAACTTGAGCCAGAGCCTCAAGCAAGACTGCAGCTCTGGAGGTGCTGGGTTAGCTGATCCCGAGCGAGCATCATTAGCCGGGTCCTGTCTCCTCCCAGTGTGACTAATCCGGGCTTAGCACCTGATCATTAGCTGATTTACGGCCGGAGAAGTAGGCGATAATCAAGGTCAGTGGGGGTGGTTTTCTTTAATGGCGGTTGGATTTCAAGTGAAGCGTGAATGCACAGCTTACCGTACACTTATAACAATGACAAACGGCCTCCACCTTCTGCCAGCTGACCCTACGAACCTCATGGAGGAAAAAAAAAAAATCAAAACCAAGAAAAAGCCACATTTACCGTTGACCGTAAGTGAGACTTCCTTTTCTCCAGCTCCAACTCGAGGCACCACGGCTCGGCAAACATATTTCCCAGCATCCTCCTGCCTCACCGCCTTCAAAGTGAGGATGTTCTCGTTGCTCAGCACCTGAGGTCAGAAAGACACAGGTCACCCCGTTAGCAGAGAGAAGGGCACACCTGGGTCAATGTCAAACTAAATCAGAAAGCAACGATGGGTAGCTTAGCTTAGTAAAGGCTCTCCTTTTCAATTATTAAAATCCAATTTGGGGTGGAAGCAGGGGACTGTGGGAGTGTGTTAGATGGCAGATGACAGGCGCTGGGGAGAGCAATGAGTCCGGCACTTTCACCTCCATCCCCCGCGGATGACAGGGCAGGGACACAGACAGAACCCAGTCGCTCTCCATCTCTGCAATAATGGAATTGACCTATCCATGCTCTGCTTACCAATGTACTGTTTTGTAGCGACCCTTGAAAGGTTGGACAAGCTTTACAGAACAATGGCAAAAATCCCATTCAACCTAATGACATTGGTGTGTGGTTGTCTGGTTCCATTGACTTACATTAAAAATAAAGTATGTTTTTTCCTTCTCCTGTAAAGTTACCTTTTTAGAGTTTTTGTTTCCGATCACAGTGATATATACAGTCCAGATCTGTGCTGTAGGTTTTAAACTGAAAACTTAACATTATATCATGACTCTAAATTAGACAGCTTGTTCAACTTAGCACTCTGGCAAAGCCTTGAAAGCTCAACTGGAGCCCCAAACCATGGCCATAGAAGGAACTCTGAGTGTAAACATAATTTCTCTATGGGAAAAATCATTGTTTTTTCCTAATAATTTGCTGCTATTGTACTCTGGCATAAACAAATGTCCCAAAATGGATAATTTTTTGTGTTTCCACAAAATCACTGGATCTTCTGAACTGTGAGGTCATTTAGAAGTTTAATATTGCTACATACATAGTATGAGCAAGCTAACACATGCTTTGAAATGACATTGCATGAAAGTAAGTCTTAAACCATAGTCTTTTCATTAATAACTTTTCACAAATATGCCCTGGTAAAAATTATATGCCCTTATATTAAGCCTTAACAAACTAGTAGCTTGCTGCTCATTACTACTTTATTAAGCCATAACTACAGAGCATTGACACCATGAAGCTGATGTTTCTATTTAGAAGTGAAAAGAGATTTAGTTTGGAAACACCCCAACTAGTGTTTGAAAAGAAAAAAGAAAAATCTAATGAGGTGCAATTTAACTAACAAGGGATTAAAATAAAGGGCTCAATAATAAACACACTCCATGTAGGCCCAATACTCAAGTTTATTGCTGAATACAGTAGTAATGAGCAGCCACATGTTGAAAAAATGGGAAGCTAGTTGCCTCATTTAGTACACAGACAAATTAATTTCAAGCCTGCAAATTTCTCTTCTGAAAACTTAAAGATTTGAGTAAAAAAATAATTTGTGTAAAGCTTACAACTTGTAAAATACACTGATTATATTAGCAATGCAGTTGATTCACAGTGGTTATTATTAGCTAAAAACTATTAAGTTGATAAGGCTATTAAGGGCATTCTAATGCATGTCAAAATTTTTATTCTGAAGATTATAATGTATAATTATTACTTAGTAATTACATGACTGACTGCAATACAAAATTGAGTTTTTAAGGCACCACTTAAGGGGTTAAAAGAGTTTAACATCTTGATAAAGTAGCAATGATTAGTTGGCAGATTGCATGATGAATACATATTGTAAACTCTTCTGTTTTGTCTTACAGTGAAAACAGTCTGACAGTTTGCATATATATATATGACCACTGATGAAGGGCTAGAGGATGACCATCACAGACTGTGCAGCAACAGATGACCTGTCGCTGACATCTACAAGATGGACCAACAAGGTAGGAGTGTCTAATAGAGTGGATAATGAATGGACACCGTGATTAAAAACTCCTTCAGCACTGCCAAATCTGATCCACTCATACCAGTGCAACACACAATATACACAGGGTAAAAAAGGGGCTAGCAAAGTATGCAGAGAAACAGATGGACTACAGTCTGTGATTTTAGAACTACAAAGTGCATCTATATGGTTAATGGAACTGATAAAATGGACAATGAGTGCAAATATAACAAGATGTCCCCAAATAAAATGCTCAGTGATTGTATATATATGATGTAACATTTAGTTTGATGTCTCTGTGTGGAGCCCTGCTGAGGGAACAAGCCTAAATGGAAAGTACAGATGCACTAAGCCCTTGTCATCTGCAAATTACAAGGACATAATCTAAGATCCATTATAAATCAGGCCATATGTTACGCCTCCTGTATGCAATTATCTATACGTGTCCGTCATCAGTCAACAAATTAGTGGCCATTTCCTCAAAATGATTATGTCATGGACTTTGCAATATACTGTATTTTTTATTAATAATTATAAAAGAAAAACAAGTTCCCTTGGAGTGAGTGGGAGTTATAATAATGATAATGATAAAATAATAATGATAATCATCTATTCAGTAATGATGAAAATGAATAGATGAAACAGAATGCAAAGACAAAGGCATTTTGTCATTAACAAGGTCTTCTTTGAGGCTGGATGAAGAGGGTTGTTTGAACATCAATGTCTTTAATATATGCAAAAGAGAACAGGGCAGGGCTGAGAGAGTAATTGATGTTCATTAAAGACGGTTCCGGATAAAAGCTGGCCCTTCTCGCTGATCTGGAGCCATCTTTGCCTACTCAAACTTCTGACCAGACTTCTTCACAGGACACCACTGTCTCCATTACTTCATTATGGTTAGGAGTTCCTGATCTGAGGATATTTGTATGCAGGCTGAGAGATCAGTGAGTTATCAATGGGGACGTTCTTGACAGTTTGTGACAAAACATTTAGTGAAAGGTTTTGCATACAAGGGAATGAATAGGTTGTGTAGTGTGAAAGATACCTTAATGTTTTTTAAGCTTGTCATAATTACCCAGAGTTCAGTCATTCTTAGGCCTAGAAGTGTGTAATTAAAGGCTTATTATCCATTAACTACATGGACAACCATGCAAAATCGTTGACTTATTCTAACGTTATAGAAGTGTGTAATAAAAGGCTTAGTATTCAGTAACTACATGGCCAACAATATAATCTGGTTGAGTAATTCTTGATTATAGAAGTCAGAAATGTAAGGCTTATTATTCAGTAACTACGTGGTCTACAATGCAAACTGATTTATTCTTAGGTCATAGAAGTGTGTAATAAAATGATTATTACTTAGTGACAACAAGGACCACAATGCAAATGAGGTGTTAACCTTTGGTATTGGAACTATTTAATAAAAGGCTTATTATTCAGTAACTACATGGACTACAATGCAAAACAGTTTAGTTAACCTTTGGTATTGGAACTATTTAATAAAAGGCTTATTATTCAGTAACTATGTGGACTACAATGCAAAATAGCTTAGTTAATCTTAGGTTATAGAAGTGCTTAATAAAAGCTTATTATTCAGTAACTACATGGTCTACAATGCACACTGATTTATCCTTAGGTCATAGAGGTATGTAATAGAATAATTCTTACTCAGTAACAACATGGACCACAAAGCAAACTAGCTGTTAATCTTTTGTTATAGAACTATTTAATAAAAGGCTTATTATTCAGTAACTACATTGAATACAATGCAAACTAGCTTAGTTAATCTTAGGCTATAGAAGTGCTTATTAAAAGGCTTATTGTTCAGTAACTACATGGTCTACAATGCACACTGATTTATCCTTAGGTCATAGAAATATGTAATAAAAGGATTATTACTAAGTAACAATATGGACCACAAAACAAACTAGCTGTCAATCTTTTGTTATAGAACTATTTAATAAAAGGCTTATTATTCAGTAACTACATGGACTACAATGCAAAATAGCATAATTTGATTTATATATGAGTTATTAATGATTTATAATCTAGTTCTAATATAATCAATAAGATTAGGCTCAACTCACTGCATCTGCAGATTTCCAGAGCATGGCCTGAAGAAGTCTGCAAAACATTTCAAAATTGATAGCTGGCTTTATTTTAAATCTACCGTGGACAAGAGGAACTTACCACTCCAGATCCTCTCTTCATCCACACTATGGTCAGAGATGGATTTCCTGTCCAGGCACAGTTGAACACAGCATCTGAGCCCAGGTCCACCTGTAGGGACTGTGGCTCCGCAGCCATCCGTGGGCCAACTGCAGAACACAAACATGCAATCAGCAAAATCAATGTGACACAGGTCCAAACTCTGCTTCTCACAGTCAATGACCAGAATATAGTGTTCGATTTTCTTGGGCCAAGTCGATTAGCTCCAATAAGCCAGCCTTTCAATATTCACTGCGGCTGAGAATTATGTTTTGTAACTATGCTTAATGATTCCTTTTTAAAATTGGATAGACTTACTTCAGTTTAATTAGCCTGCAAACGAAGGCATTAATTGAAAATGCTTTTGCCATAGAGCGAGTAGAGAAAGGAAACTCACAGTAGACGTCCACATTACGGCTGATGTTCGTGCTGCCCAGAGGGTTGGTGACCTCACAGGATACAGCCTCTGTGAAAAAGGAGTGGTCCACGATGACTTCATAGGTGTCTCCAGACACTTCCTTGATCACGTTGCCTCCTTTTGCCCATCTGCAGACAATAAGCAGAGATGCAGTTGGGTTTATTCTGGAAAAACTACAGTTCCAAGAAACTGAAAGTGCCAAAGCACAACAGCAGTTCAGCTTTTGTGTAGACATTGGGAAAATGGTAGAAAAACAGGCCCACATGCTCACAAAAAACCCATTAATCCCAAAATAACTCCACCTCTCTCTTTAATGGAATGGAATGAGCACTCAACGTGGCTACCCATAGTGTCACAAAAATCACAAAGCCACTTTAGAAGTTACCATGGTAATGGCAAGGGGACCACCATCTTGATCCACACTGTCTCCATCACAGAGATAAACAAGGCTTGATGGCTGCCTGTCTGATGCAGGTTAGTGGCTGAAACACGATGACAAGTGCCTTTCCTATGGACCAGCGGCTTTTGTGTCTGTTTTCCGAGGGAATTATGACACTGTTATATGAGACACATTGAAGTGAGCGATCTCTGCTGGCCTCAGCATGTTTTCGGTGCCTGGGCTGCGGGGTGACAGCACACGCTCCCGTTACATGGAGCAGAGCCAGGCTGGGAAAAAAACAAAATCTCAAAGTGACAAATAGGCAGCACCCCACTGACGTTAGCAAATGGCACCAACTGTACACAGCGCACAGGAAGCTGACGTTAATAAATCGACGTGGCTCTCGGCGAGGAAACGCTTCGTTTGTGTTGAAAGCCAGTATCCCGGGGCGTCATGCCTCTTCTCCTGTCCCTGCTGCCGTAATGCTTCCCCGAACGTCGCCAGCTCTGTCTGCCGGGTAGCAGTGGGTGAGTCCCTGTTGGTGTCTGAGACGGGATACATTTGTACGAGGCAAAGGGGACGGAAGAATGAGTGTCTCTGCGCGACACTTGGGCAAACATCTCAGCAAATTGGATATGTTCACTGCCAGTTAGCTTACAGCTGAGAAAAAGACAGCATGAAGGTTCGCCTTGCAAACAAAAAAAAAAAAGAAATAAATATAAAAATACACTTCCCCCCCTCTCCACATTTGAAGACTCAAATGATCCCTCACTGCCAGAACTGTGAAAATTCACAAATTACCATCTCGGTAGGAGCAGTAGGGCACTTTCATTAACTGCGGAAGACTCTGGCCCCAGTGCCAGGCCTGATAAAGAGTCATTTAAAACTACATTAAAAAAACAACGGCGAGGAATTATAATTGCTTGAATGGGAGCTGTAGTAACGGCATGGCCAGTTGAGCTCTCTGTCAGCCGAACGTGCCTGGGAACACCTGCGATTCCAAAAATATTCAAATCAGGGCAGATGGGAGTGTGTGTCGCCTCAGCCCCAGACATAATTGCTCTTGGAAAAGAGGCTGTGCTGCAGCCTGAAACTTTCTATTTATGAGTAATTAGAACAGCAGTCACCTGCTCCGTGTCTGCCGTAGAGAATTCCGCTGCCTCCCTGGAGCTCAGAAATTAAACCCAAGGCTACTGCGCACCCTGCTTTGTAATCAGATCAATAGATAGACAGTGCTATAATTTCATTTGGCTCTAAATAGCTTTGTTATTACAACGGGCTGCGAGGATGCTTATCAAGCGACGCATATGGAGCCTTTCAAGTTAGCGGCCGTTGTCTCGTGTTATGAGCTTTAAAATGAAATAACGTTCGCGGTTGTCTGAGTTAGCGTGATCAGTCACAGCTGTGGTCCCTCCGGACGAGCAGTGTGTTTGCCGATGCGTGCGGCACACTTTGTGATCTTTCCTTCCATCTTCAAAGCCCATTTCCTCAAGAGCACAGCTCACAAAAGGAGTGCGTGATAATGACAAACAGTATCTGAGGAACGTCACAAGAAGCAGCTCTTAAGAGGTTCCAAACTCACATGCGCGTCATGATTACCTCCATCATGAAAACGAGAAAGAACCAGAGCCCAGCTCCCAGATTTTACAACAAATTATCTTGGTCTACTTTTAGCAAATAATTTTCATGTTTGTGAGACTGTTCATTTGATAGTGTACTAAAACCATCAGAGTGGGTAATGCTTTGTTTTTTATTTATTTATTTTTTTCTGAAGTTCAAGGTATTATAACCATGTAACTTAACGTGAGGACAAACTTCAAAGTACTTGGTAATTATTACATGAATTACGGTAACATGAATGCAAGTTCCAAGACAGTGAAAGGCCCAACAGATTCTAAATATTAACTGGATGTGGTACAATCTTGGGGGAAAAAGTACCAGGAAGTAATATGACATAAAAAAAAGATTAAGTAATATATACAAAATAAGTACAGTTTCCTTTATAGTACCTGCCTGTCCATTACCTATAAATCAAACTAAATCTAAGCTATAAAAGGAAACAATGATTAATATTTAAGCAATAGAACATGAGAGGGAGTGTGTTACCATGACATAACATCACCGCTGTGATTTGGTTGCCGTAGATCATCACAGCCGTGATGTTATTCATGATAACACATGACCTCGAGTGTTCTATTGCTTTTATATAAAAGTTTAATAAATAAAGTAATGAATTAATAAACTGGGCCGTGAATGCGGCATTTAATATTTTTAATGTTCGCAGTTCCTTCACCAAATTATAGTTCCTTAACAAGCAGCTTGTTGCTACATCAGAGTAACGAACTCCGCCCACTCACTGCATAGCCGGCAGTTCGTTCTCCAGCTCCTCACACTAAATTTCAAAACTGTCATCGCCACTGAGCAGCTTCTCAGTCAGCAGCTGTGACAGAAGAACAGCTAAACAACCTGGAATTAGCCAGAAATGAATTTTTTGCCAGATCAGTATTGATGTTGTTTTGTTCCAGCCAGTCTGTAAAGCATCTTACAGCCCATTTAGTTTGGCGAATGGTGTTGGTTCATTTCTGGCTGATTCCAGGTTGTTTAGCTGTTCTTCTGTCACAGCTGCTGACTGAAAAGCTGCTCAGTGGTGATGATAGTTTGGGAATTTAGTGTCGTCTCATCTTCAGAGTCTGACCAAATCGGCTGTCGGTCAAATGTGATCTTAAAAGTATTCATTTTCGGTTTGTGCGCAAAGTAAAAAGTAAAAACGTTCAAATGGCTTGAGCATCTCCTACAGCTGTCAAATTGTTGCTTAGCAACGGTGTCTCAGCGGAGTGATACATTGTTCGTGGAAAAAAAATGTGCTGTTATGGCTAAAAACAGCACAGTTAGAACGCTTCTCAACCAATCAGCTTGCGTGGCCGGAACTAACTGTTTCATAATATGGTTTTACTAGGTACTTGTCATTTACTTTAGAAAGCTATCTGTGTACTTACCTTACCTGGTACTTGAAGGTGATTCCTATGTACCTTCCTTCTTAAGCTTGTGAAATGGAATTGACATTTAGTGTCAATGTTTATTCCACCTTGTTACTCAAAATACTTATGAGGTATTATTCAATTTCGTTTCTTAGCATAAAATCTTTAACCTGGTAGTAATTTCAGTGTAATTAAGTCAGAATTTACCATCATGTTACCCACAATAACTATCTAGTACTTGTTTGTGCACACTTACTTGATTAATACCTAGAAGAGGGACCATAAAGAAAGCATTACCTCAGAGCTTGAGCTTCTTTAATCTCAGATTTGAGAGATTCACTGTAGTACAAAATGAAACTCAAGCGGAATGTTAATATTGTTCAAGTGGCATGATGAAAAGTGGGCCATGAGTAGGACCGAGCAGCAGTGGGTATGGGTTATGATCAAGGCATGGCCAGGCTGATTGCTTTGGCCAGCAAGAGGGCCCCAAATGGTGGGTTGCTTCTGCCAGCTCTGGAGGACCCACTGCTGCATGCTGTCAGATCCAGAGGCTCCATTATCACTGAGCTCCTCTGGGCTCTGTCCAGAACAAACAGGGTCTGTTCACACCAAGGGCCTGGGTAAACTTTTACGCTGGATCCTGTGCCACTGAGGGATATTCAGGATACTCGACAATTCATTTATTGATCACAGGAAGAGGAGAACTAATGTGCACAATTTCCCACTACTCTGCTACTCCAGTGGTAGTTAATCAGGCAAGATGCTTTTTTTGGTTTTGCACTGGAGCTGTGAGGTTGACGTAGATAATGGAAACTTAAACTTAGACCCACCAATTAGTGCTGTGCAAACCAGTGATACTGAAAGGTTTTGTGCTGGGCATGCCGAAATTTTAAGCAGCATATGATGTGTACAGTGAATTTTCATGTGAATTTTTGGGATAATGTAAAACAGAACATGTTCTAATATGGTGAAATATGACAATTTACACATATAACTCACAGATTAAACTGCTGACTCCTACCCAGTTCAATTTACTCTCTCAATTTGCAAATGAGCTGAGTGGCAACCAATCAAATTGGTGACATAGCTCCACCCTATAACAAGCACTTGTATGTCTTTACAGTGTAAACCCAAATGTCAAAATTCATGAATTGGATTGAATCAAGAAAACTATTAACATTTGATTTAGTAGAGTCCTGTTTGGGGTGGTAACTAAAAAGAACCGATCATGATTGATTTACTGACACTTAAATGATATGAATTTCACATCTGATGTCATATTACTTGGCAGAAAGCCAGTCAGAAGGCAGAGAGGGTTAGGTTTGGACCATAATGATTTTTAGGGTTTCAGTTTTTGTGTTCAACCCTGGGAACTGGTAGGTTAATTGGCTTGTGACTGATTTTTTCTTTTTTTTTATTTTGATTGCCATTGATAGCAAAAGCTCAAATGTATCTTTAAATTATATACCTAAAATAGATTTACAGTAATATTACTGTAGTTTTGCACTCTATATTAAAATATTTCTATTTTTCTCTTTGTACATCACTGTCAAAGCAAAACCTTGTATCTTCATAAAGTAATTAAAAGGTTAATAATTTGTTGTGGCTAACCTCTAAACAGTCTCTGATTACACTGACACAAGCACACAAAACTAATGGAACCACATGAAAAGGGTATTTCTGACTGTTTAGTAACTCACTGTTTGTTAGTTATGAATCAGTCTAATGTTTGTTCATAAGTGTTGTTTGATACTAATGTACATGTAGTTTT